CCCCCCCGACCCATTCTCAGCCTTGGACTGTGGGTTAATGTGCCTGTGGGTTGAGAGTGCCTTGTTGCTGAACTACTGGTGGTGGGTGAAACACGGTTTGTGGTTATAATGTGGTGCATTGTATTGTATTGTCTGAACCCAGTTTCTCCAAAATTGAATTTGGCCCTGGGGCCGAAAGAGGTTCAGTACACTTTCTTTAGATTGGCCTTCCCCAACCTTGTGCCTTCCAGACACATTTGGACTGCAACACCCAGAATTTCCAGTCAATTGCCCTGCTGGATGAGAATTCTGGGAGTTGTGGTCCAAATGCCTCTGAAGGCTACCAGGTGGAGGAAGGCTGCTTTAGATGGAAGTCTAGACCTAGCAGTCCCAAAGAACGGAGCACAAATGCCACATCAAGCCATCTTGTCATGAAGAGCACGATGGGTTTGCTTAACCATGAAACTTCCTCTTGAACTGGAGTGACTGAAAAAATAAATAGTGGCTTCGGAAGTGCTAGAGAGATGTTCATTATTAAGAATACAGGTGCAATTATTGGCTAGCTGCTAGTCTTTGATTAATGGCAACATAGGAATGTAGTGTAAAAATCTCTTAACTGTAACATAAGGGTCTCAGTCCAACAAAGCTGGGCCTATTGCAAAGCACCATGAGTGCAGTCAGACGATGCTTTCCTAAGAAACAAGCAACAAAAAGGGCCATGTGCTTTTCTGAAGAGAAAAGCCCTATTTACTCAGAAAGGACAGGTGGGTTTCCTCTTCCACAGCATGAGTGGTTCTTGCTAGAAACTTGCTAGGACACTTCCTGGGGTTGGGTGGAGTTGGGTTTGGCTTTTTTGTATGGTTGATCCTTATCTGAATGAAAATCGAATCTTATTATTCTGAATTGTTCTTTTGTTTGCAAGTCTTGAATACTTGGAGGAGTGAATGATAGAAATGAATGAATGAATACTTTTTTGGAGGAGTGTATGCCTCAAATAAATAAATGTAAAAGAGAGTGATTGTTCCTTATCCTTTGCAGATTGAGTGCCACCCTTACCTGACTCAGGAAAAGCTGATCAGTTACTGTCAGTCCAAAGGGATATCTGTCACAGCATACAGCCCCCTCGGCTCTCCCGACAGACCATGGTGAGAACATTTCTTTGCCTTCTCTTTCATCCCCCCAAAGTGATTAAGCTTTGACAGCCTGAACACGGAATTCCATTGCAAGGAGTTCCCAAGGAGCCTCATTCCAGTGGTTGGATGGGTGGGGAAATCCAATTCCATGGTCGGTTCATCATAAGAAACATTTCTGCCCAGAAGTAAGCATGAGCAGAAGTGATCTACTCAGAAGTAAGCAGGCAAGGGTCACTTGTCAGCACTTTCCAGTAGCTTGTCTACTGAGACACAAGCAGAGCAAGATTCAGCAGGCCTACTCAGAAGTAAGCAGGACTAAATCTTTCTGTCATTCTAGCTCTTATCTTCTGATTGGAGGTGTGAGTTTTTCCCTCTTAGCCAAAAGGAGGGGGTTGAAGGAATTGGGCTTGATGGGAAGTCTCCATGGTGTATATGAGGCTCAATTGGTTGACGATTCCCTATCTATTAGTGTTCAGTAAAAGTGTGTTGACCACCTTGGCTTCAACCGCCCTAGCCCAATAGACAAGAGAAGTAGATTGTGAAATAATTGGTCGGTGTCTAGGCAGTCGAGAATATATAAAACCTGAGTAACAGGAGATTTTTGACAGGGAAGGTTGTCAAGTCTCACTGTGATTGTAGCTGGATGGTACCCAAGTAAAGCAGAATTTTTGTGCTTAACAATCACAACCCCCCCCCAACCATTATCTTGCGGTTCCAAGCGTTCAAAGCATTGCACATGTATTAGTCAGTTCTGTTCCTCCCAACACCCCTGTGCATCAAGTCAGTATTATTGTGACCCATCGTACAGATGGGAGGATGAGGTTCAAAGAGGGTGACGTGCAGATGAGCGAGTTCTTGGCAGAAATGAGTTTCAAATTGTGGACGCCCTGTGCAGAAGATGGAGCGTCTGTTCGTCTTACAGTGGAAGATAAAAGCTATCAGCCTCCAGATGAAAGATTCAGGAGTCTGTAGCCGGGCGAGTTGTTTGACTAAAGTAGTTCTTTTGTTCCTAATAAATGCAGGTTTGCCTGGTACAGTCAACTAGCAGCTGACTCCCATGCGTTGTTTTTCTAGGGCCCAGCCAGGCGATCCGTCTCTTCTGGATGATCCCAGGATCAAGGAGATTGCTGCTAAGCACAATAAAACCGCTGCGCAGGTGTGTTGGCTGCGGGTTTATGTATGTAGGTAAAGAACCTGGAGAAGTAGGGAGAGGAAATTTTCATTGGGAAGCAGAAGGCAGGCTTGCCAAAAGGATTATTTAGAAGCTGTGGAAGGTGATACCAAGAGCTTCTGGTGTCCATCAGATATTTTGGACTGGGACTCCCACCATCCTTGTTCGTTGGCTGTGCTGAGTGGTGTTGATGGGAACTGTAGTCAAAACATTTGGAAGGCACCAGATCAGAGAAGGCTGCTATATCCTTCACTCATGAGGCAAGGTTATTACTATTACTATTAAGTGTATGGCTGGCCATGAACATGTGTTCACTGGATAAGTTGCAGAAGAAAAAATGGAATTTTAAAATGCAAAGTAGTAAAACATTCACAAGCCCATCACACCACACCACTGCAGTTCAGTTTGCTGCTGTTAAACAAATGGGATCCAGGGAGCCTTACATATTTCCTGCAGATTACCCAGCAACCTCCCGGTAGATCCCATCTTCTGTCCATCTACTTCTTTTGAAAGAAGACGCTATTGATGACCATAATAGGTGTTCAGGAAATGCTAAGAATTGCCTTTGATCACTATGTGAGCAGCCTGGCTGTAATCCAGCAGGGGATTTTAAAGGTAAAAATATTACTGAAAGATTAATTAACCCACCCTATACAATCTTGCGTATGCCTCAAGCATGAAGGTAGGATTTAAAATGTCTGCAGTTGTAGGGAACTGTTCCAGATTAGTTAATGGGGTCTTGGGAATGGGATCTCTTATACATGGCTGCAGATGTGGGTACTCCTTAGCTGCTATATATCTCTTGGGTCCCTCAGTATTTAACTTCTGGCTGAGAAACTTAATTCCTGAAGTAACAGCAGACTACAGCAAGGTATCGTTTTGCTGAGCTTGTCTCCTGTCTATTTGCTCCTGGCAAAGCTCTGTAGATGAGCGAGACTGAAAGGGAAAAATAACTTGTGGACTGAACAAAGTCTGAGTGTGCTTGCTCTGTTCTGATTATTAGGTCCTAATCCGGTTCCATAGCCAAAGAAATGTGATAGTCATTCCCAAATCTGTCACCCCCGCACGTATTGAGGAAAACTTCAAGGTAAGATGGAGAAGAACATATGAAAAATGAGTGTGATTGAGATTTTTTTCTCAGCTGGCTTCAAGGGTACAGTGGTGGCACCTGGATCAGCTCCAGATGGGATTACTTGGGACCTGCCTGCCATGCATCATCCTCTAAATCAAGGCTAGGAAGCCTGTGCCCTCGCAGATCTGTCATCCAGTCCCTGGCTGACTATAGGGAGCAGTCATCCACCAATATCTAGAGGGTTCCCCATTTCCCCATCACTGATGGTTAACCAAGGTTGAGCAAAAGGTGCTTTAGACTACAACTCCCAGAAGCTCTTGACAGTATGGCTGGTGTTCAGGAATGCTGAGAGCTGAAGTCTAAAACTCTAGAGATCTACTTTCTGCCCACCTCTGCACATAGGAATTAAGGCTACAATTAAGTGAATAATCCTGCAGTCGCAGGAGTTGGACCTGATGGCCTTCTGGCTGCTTCCAGCTCTACTATCCTATGATCTCAAAGTGAAAAGGGAGGAGATAGCCATGAACTGCATTTGGGGAACCGATTGCAAGAGCCCCTCCCCCACTGTCTTCTCACCCACCCCTCAGAACTAGCATTCCTTGTCCTCTTTGAACATCCACAGTGGTGTTTGTTGTAAAGGAAAAATAAAACCTAGAAGGATCCTTGTCCTCCGTAGGTGGCAAATATGAAACATGCATATTTAGGTACAGAGAGCCAAAAAGCCCACTGTAAATAGTAGAGTCTCCCAGAATTTTAAGGGGAATAAAGTGGGGTAATAGAAGCAAAAGAGTTGGAAGGAGCCTTGTAGGCGATAGACACCAGGCCACTGCTTAGTCCAGGAGTGCAGCTGGAAGTAGCCCTGCAAGGTTGCTGTCCAGTCTCTGCTTGAGTGCTTCCAATGCCCTGGGCAGTTGGCTCCATTGTTTGATTGCTCTGTCTGATAGGAAGTTTTTCCTGATGCTCAGCTGAAATCTGCCTTCCTGTACCTTAAGCCCATTATCTGCTGACCTTCAGTCTCGGATGAACAAGCTACAGGCTCTTCTGTGCAGCAACCCTTTAGGCTCTGGAGTAATGCAATGATATCCCCCTCACCATGCACTCTTTTCCTCTCAGGGTTAAACATATTCAATTCCTTCCATCTTTCCTCATGGGACTTGGTTTCTAGTCCCCTGATCATCTTTGTTGACCTTCCTGGAACTCATTGCAACTTACCTAAATGCAGTAAACCATATAAGACTTGAGGCTTTTGTCAGCATTACTCCAATGATCTTTTACCCTTTCCCTTTCCAGGTGTTTGACTTCGAGTTGTCTAAGCAGGAGATGGAAACCATCCTTAGTTTCAACCGGAACTGGAGAGCCTGTGCAATGACCATGTACGTAGTTTGAAAAACCTGAAAGGGACAATTCCACCAGCATCAGATGTCCAGATCAGGAAAGACTAGCTCTGCAGTGCTTAATTGAGTAATGAGTTAGAATTATTATTATTATTATTATTATTATTATTATTATTATTATTATTATTACATTTCTATGCCGCCCCTTGCCGAAGCCTCGGGGCGGCTTCAATTGCATTTAGAGAGGCCAATTAACTGGGCACCAGTGCCTTAAAGATAATTGTAATACAAATATTTTTTTTTTTTAAAGGCGGGTAATAATGTCAAAAAATTTTCAGGACACAGCAGAAGATTATTCCTGTGATGATATGTGTTGACCATCTCAAAACAAAGGAGCTGTGGCTTTCTCCTTAAAATTACTTTTTTGTTCCTGTGCATATTTTATAAATGGGCCATATGGTAACCATTGTACAATTGCTTGCCAGTTCATATTTTGCAGTGAATTTAGCTGGTAGCTCTTACAGTGTGTTCCTAAAAGGTATTAGTGCTATTAGATTAGTAGATGGGGGGTTTCTTATTAATATCAAAACATTTACATCTTAGCTGATCTCCAAAGAGTTGAAGGGTGCTCACAATCTATCAATAATTTAATCATTAAAAACATTCTATTGAAAAAAATTGCTAAAACAGCAGTAGTAAACCAGAGGGAGCCCAATTAAAACAACAGATTAAAATTGCACATTGCCTTCCTAAGAAAGAAGGTCCTTAGCAGCTTCTGGAAGGTCATTAAGTGAGGAGGTGCAATGCAGACACTGAAAAGATCCTTCCTCTATTCCAGATTAGATGTAACAAAGTATGTGGTCTGATGTGACCCAACTGTTCGCTCAGCCCTGGAATTACTGCAATACATAACTTCCATGACTTTTAAAAATGGTATAATTAAAGGCTGAGATAAAGAAACCATCTGTTTGGAGTAGCTGTTTATGTCTTAGGAACAATTTTAGTCCTTAACTATCTATCAAACGTCCAACTATTCAGAATTGTAAGAGTCTGACTTCCTGTGGAATATACATCTAAGTTGGTCCCAGATCAAATCAAGCCAGAGCTTTCCCTGGAAGCAAAACCAAAGCTGTCTGTCTTTGGGCACATCATGAGAAGGCAGAGCTCCCTGGAGAAGACAGTCATGCTTGGGAAAGTTGAAGCCAGGAGAAGAAAGGGAAGACCAAATATGAAATGCATAGAGTCGATAAAGTCATGGCCTCCAGCTTGGAAGAACTGAAGAGCTGTCATGGACAGGTCATTTTGGAGGGCTTCCATTCATAGGGGTGCCATGTTGGGGATGACTTGACAGCATGTAACTTCTAAGTGGGATCAGATGGCGATTTTTTTGGGTGCTCTCCAGTGCCCGCTGCCCTCAGTGCATGTGCATTCAGTGGCCAAAGCGAGGCATGATGGGAGAAATTGTGCCTTGCCCCATGCATTTTATTTAGGCAGCCATCTTCAGCTCTCTAGGTTCACCGTCAGGGCTGCAGAAGAAAGGAAGGTGGTCACTAGTAGGAACTTCCACTACTTTTAGTTCACACGTTTAGTTTTTGCCACTTACTAGGATAAATAAAGTCTGATTCAAACTTCTGATTAATGTTTCTTTTCCTCCCTAGGTGCCTCAATCACAAAGACTATCCTTTCAAAGCTGAATATTAAAAATCCAATTGTGCTGGAACTGCAGAGTGAACGCATTGTGTTGATCCTTTGGGCTTTAAAAAAAAATAACTATCTGGCCTCTCTATAGAACAACTATAACCTTTTCCAATCCAGATTCAATGTTTCGAGTGATGTCATTTTAAAAACCATTTGTTGGCCTTCCCTGGTGGGTTAGGATCCTTTCTGCCAAGATGAACAGCTGGAATTCTTGGGAGATGAATAACAGCATCAAACTCTGCTTCTTCTGAAGGCATAGAGTAGTTTCTCCTCCCATCTGAAAAGATAAAGCATTTATAAGAGTGTGAGGAAATCAATTTCTTAATGATTGTGTTTAAAATTACTGTTTTCGAACACTCTTTCACCTTGACTCCAGACAGAGAGCTTTAAAGCTTCAGCTATGGCTGTGGTGTGTTTTTTGAGTGAGATACTTCATCTTTGGTTTGGAATGTTTTCTTCTTACAGAATTTCTAATAAAATTATCTGGTTATTACCATGCTGCTTATTTATTTCTTTTATTTTTCAGGAAATAAAATATATTTCTGCCTTGCAAGGTTTAAAAAATCAACTTCTTTTCCATTCTTTTTAATTTAAAAAGCACTTAGGGCATATTCAAATGCCTGAAGTGTATGTTGCTCATATTGTCATTCTGGAATAGAAGCAAGCCATTTTCAAGTTTGTGGGACATTCTTTGTTTTTACAACAACTCCCAAGGTCCATGAGTGGGGCTGGGAGGGAGGGAGGGCGCAATGCCAAATGCTGATTAAGGAACCAGCGTCAGTTGTCACCTGCAAGCAACCTTGAGCTGATGGGCACATGTGAGAAACTTGTGGCTGCTGTGAGGGGTGTAGAAAAGGAAAGTCACAACAGAAAAGTAACCTCAGAAGGCAAGAGGACACACCCGCTGAGGAACTGAGACCCAAAGTTATCTGTGAGCGTATGAACTGAGAGGAGCCCCAGTGACAGTGTCTGCTCCCAAGCAAGTTCAGCAACTGGGCGAGTTAGGCAGCACAGAAAAGAGGCCAGGGCAGAGAACTCTCTTCTCATAGTAAATATAAATTGTAAATAACTAAAAATAGAGCCTCTACCTTCTAGTAAAAACAAAAAAATAATTTTCCAGGTAAACAAATCCAATAGGAGCAACTAAACCTGTTCCAAAGGAAAAAAGCCCCAGGTGGGGGGACTATCCAGTGTGTTGCACGGAGTCCATGAGAAGTGGGTGTGAGCTTGCATGTCTCAGACTCCCAGCTGTCGGGAACAAGTGCACTTTCTGCCTGAGCATGGCTCATCCCTTGAGAGCAAAGAAAGTAATTGATGGTGGAGCCTTTGTGGAGTCCAATGCATCTAGAACCTTAATTTTTGTCCTTTGTTTCCCTTTTCAAGAAATTAAGTCTCAGGTTAAGAGAGGAGAGTCTTCTGAAAGGACTGAGGTTGAACAGGCATAGCCACAGTATTTTACAGCCCATCTAAAAACTCTGATTCCAACAAGTATGCAAATACATGTTTTCCAGGATCAGTAGGGAAACAGATGCTGTATCATAGATCAGAGCAGGTATGAGAAGGTGTTTAGGAAAAACTGGCCAGTAATTCATGGGAAGCAGCATTCTTTTTATAATGCATGAAACTATCTGAATTTGTCCAAGCTGATCCAAAGCCATACATAACATGGCAAAGTGTTCAGACCTCCCAAGTTATAAAAGCTGCTAGCATGGCCTGGCATATGGACTCAGTTGATGTACTTCAGAGGTTTATCTGATACTGAAAACAAGGGGAATTTTGTATTTAGAAATTGGCTTTCTAGTTTATATGTCTTCCGGGCACTTTGAGTGGAACAAATGGTGCTTGCCAGATCCCCAAAACAGCGATGTGGATTGGAGTGCAACAGACAAGAAAGATGTTCAGTAATGACTAGGGGAAGTTAGACCAATTCTGTTTAATTGGCAATCATACATTTCCATAGAAAAAGCATCCTTGAAATCCATCAGGAGGCGATCAGTCTGCATGAAAGGGGCATTCGCTATGTGTTGGAACGGTTTCACTCCATGCAGATCACATGAGGAATAATATTTATACCACATTTCCTTTGCTCTGCACACTCTGCCTGTTTGCCTTGATTTGAGGAGGAGGTCTGTCCTACTCATACCATTGCCAGGATACCTTTTGGCTTGACTGTTGCCAAACCAGGAAAATATTCCAGTGGGATGCAATACATTGGAGCGAGGGGGAAAGTTTCTGGAGAGGCAAAGCATGAAAGACAGCTTGCGTGAATTTGGAATATATCATTTAGAAAATGCCTCATCTGCTTAAAATAGCAATTTAAAACAAATTCTTGATGCAATCATAAAAGTATTGAAAGCAGTAAAATGTTAAGTGAGCAATCCTACGATCCCTGGGAGAGATTCCCAGGAACCATATTTGGAGTCTGAGGCCATCCAAACAGGGGTTGTTTCTTCTCCACCCCTAAGAGCTGCTGTGGGAAGCACCATGGAGCTGTTCTTTTCTGAGCTGCAGCCTCAGGTGTGGATGCAAATGAGGAGGAAGGTGTGGGAAGGGGAGATTCTAAGGATCTACAACATTCAAAAGCCTCCCATCCTGGTTCCCTGTACTTTAATATACTGCAGTGACAGGCCCAGAGAAATAAAAATAGTACAGGGATAAAAATAGGCACCGTCATCTTCCATGCTTCTCCAGAAGATGCACTCAGAATCCCTTCTGCTCAAAAAACAAAAACCAGGAAGATGGGGAGATGAATATTACCTCTTTCTCTCCTTCTCTGCTGGGCATTTGCTGGCAGAGCATTGGGTATTTGGAAAGCTCCTTTGGAAAATATGGATTGCTCTGCCCAATAGCACCATAATTTAAAAGACATGTCTCCACACATCTTCTTAAAGCCACAGTTTGTAGCAAGCCAAGAGAGAAAGCCCTTTTATAGGTGCCCAGCCAATGGCTCTCTGTGGAACCGTCCAATAGCCAAAGTTCTCTGCATAAAAATACAATAAAACCATAAAAATACAATAAAATGACATAACATGAGACAACCAACATGCAAAAATAGAAAAGCAGTTCTAAGCAATTCACAATGAAAATCTCCAGATCGCTTAAAAAGCCTGCACATGTCACATCTGGTGCCTGGAAGAAGAGGAAGGCTTGACATGGGACCAAAACAGTGGCAAAGGCAGCATCAGGCAGACCTCGCTGGGCAGCCTTCCACAATTGGAGGGCTACCACTTGGAGGTCCTAGCGATTGCTCCCTTCCTCCAAACCTCCCTTAGAGAAAGGCTTCAGAGGAAGACCGGCACGCACAAGCTGCAGAGCGGTGCTCCGTCGTGTTTTGAATCGCCAGCAAGCCTGCTTGGTTCTCACTGAGCAGGTTTTTCCTGGGGAGCAGTTTGGTGCCTCCTGTCTCTTCATTTGCAGATGAACGTGTAGGTCTGCAATGTTGCAGAATCCTCCCAGTACTTTCTTCGTCCCTCATTTTGGCCTCAGTCCTTGGGGAATTTACTTCCTGAGTTCACTGAGGAAGTGGCACACAGAGAAAGACTCATAACTTCTTTTTGGTCCAGGAGAGATGTGGGCACACGCCGTGAAAATTTAGTAGGATTTCTGACTGGCTGGCTGAAAGAGAACTTTTGTCTTGAACGTTTGCCTTTGCAGTTGTAGCAACAGTCCTGGATTATTAGAAACATATTGTACAGGTTAGTGCCCAGGTGCACAGAACACACTTCTCTGTTTAAGGGGCTGCCCAGTCCAGCTCAGCTTTAAAAACAATGAGAAGCGGGGGAACGGGAACCTTGAAGCTGCCAATCAGCATTTAGCAACTGGAGAGCGGAAGACAGTGAATAGCCACCTGGGCCAGCCAGGACAGCAGTCTATTCCGTATTATATTTCTGTTACATTGCATTGTACCTTGACTTTTTCCCTCTTGCAAGGAAATCAAGGCAGCTTACAAGGTCCTCCTCCTCTCTGTTTTATCCACACAGCAACAGCCCTGTGAGGTAGGCTAGGCCAAGTGTATATGGCTGGCAATCTTTTTTTCCAGACACTTCTATATAATATAATTTCGATCAACCGAGATACATTTTACAAAAGCCTGTCCTCATCTCTTCTTTTTCTGGAAATGCATTCCCTCCCTTTGGGCAATGTTACATGACCACTGCCTCCGTCCCACCCCCATTCTGGTCAACCTCTCCAGACACAAGGGAGACTGTAAAGAACATGCTTTGAACAACCACCACAAAAGACCGGGGCTGCCTTGCCCGGTCATCCCTCTTAGCTTCTGTCCACCAGGCAGGGAGGTCACAGTGCCACGTGCTTTGATGCTACCCAGAGAGGCCTTTTTGTGAATGCACTGGGCAAGGGGTGAGAATGAGCATCTCTGCGGAAACTGCCTGGGCGCTCCCCCCCCGGCTCGCCTTCAGCGTTCCAGTAATCGCCAAACAGCCGATTCACCTGGATCCTCCAGCTGGGGCAAGCCTCTGAGTGTCCTGGGTCTGACCTAGGAAGGGACATCAGGCATGGGCACAATGGAGGAGGTAACCGCATCTCCGCCTGTTGCATCGGGCCATTGGTCCATGCAGCCCAGCATTCTTCTCCAGGCTGAACTGGGCGCGGGTTGGGAACGGTCTGCAGCTCCAGGGCTGAATTGCTCCCAGCAAGCGTGCCAGAGAGGAAGGAGCGGGCATGCCAGCACTGGTCCAGGTTGCCACACAGCGTGAGTAGGGCGGCCCCACTGCGGGCAGCAGTCCCCGCTGTGATGGCCCAGACACCTGCACACACCCCTGTCTGCACACTCTGTACTTTCCCCCTTCCTGAAAAGGCCTCCCCGGCTGGCAATTAGGCTGTTGTAAAAGCCTCCTTTGTCACCAACAGAGGCCTCAAACAGAAGTGCAAGGGAGGTGGTGTCTTTAGGGGAGTGACGCCATTCGAGAGGAGAACGATAGCCCCTTCCTCCTCCTCCCCACAAAAATGCTCCTCAAGCATTTGGCACCAAATTATTTTTTAATTGCAGCATGAGGGGTGGGTTGCAGCACTGGGAAAGGGGAGCCTAGTCATTAGCAAACCATGGAACCCAATCGTTAGCAAGGAAGCCAGAGAAAAGGGATGAACTCGTTTGGTCCCTCTCCCACCATCTCCAGGAAAAGGCAATGTCTGCTTCTCAGAGTTTTGCCAGGCCATAGGGAGCTGTGGCAAAATATGGGATGAAACTTCTCAATTCATGCCAGGGAAAGGAGTGGAAATTCCATCTCTCTGCCATCATCAGAAGTGCCACTGCTCTTCTGAAAAAGTGTCCATGATTGGCTTTGATTTAAAATGCAGCAAAGCACTAACCTAGCCAAGCAAAGTATGACAAGAGTGACCCAAAACTCATGAAAAACACATGGACTTAGAAGGGAGAAATACACACCTCGTACTGTGTCCTTGGATAGATGAAAATCATAATGAAAACCTCGCTGGGAGCCAGTCTTGGCTTAACAGCAAGGTATGGCCCAACCTT